TTAAATCCAATCAAATAATCAAAAATATAATTATAATTATAATAAATCATATTTATTAAATTTATAATTGAGAATATAAATTATAATTCTCAATTTCATAGGGGTAAAATTATAAATATGTTGATAGGACATAAATTAGAATTACGAAATTTATAAAGGGCAAAACTATAATTTGATAAAAACCCTAGCCTCAAGGAAAAATTGTAAATATGTCAAAAGGCAATCCCTTGCCTGCACCCCTATCGCCTGCGCGTTCGTGGCTCCCACTACTCGCGCGCGGTCGCTGTCGCTACCACCGTCGTGGTTCCTGCAACGTGTGGCCGCCGCCAGTGCACGACTCCTACCCGCGCGTGGCCGTCGCTAATGCACGGCTTCTACCAGTGCGTGGCCGCCACCTAGGTGTAGCCTATGCCCGCGTGTGGCTATCGCCTGGGCATGATTGCTGCTTAGTCATGGCTCTTGCACGTGCGTGACCATCGCCTGGGCGGTTGTTTGCCCTCACGTGGCCGCCGCATGGGTGTGATGCTGCCCACGTGTGACTGCTATATCGGCGTGGTGCTGCTCGCATGCAGTCATTGTCTGTTGCGCTGCAACATGAACGTTGCCCAACGTAGCATATTCGCTAGTTGTACACAGCAAGGTCGACGACGATCATTGCTACTTCGCGATCATTAGAGAGTATAGATCATTCATGTATCGTAAATAAAAATAATAGATCTAATATATTTGATCTCAAGAACCTGACTTTGATACCAATTGTTAGCATAAAATATGTAATTATGCTATCTCTAATGTAGAAAAACTTTTATGCTAGGATTGAAATCAAATAAAATTAGATCAAATAATATTACGATGCATACCTTTTATTGTTGTTCATAAGAATAAACCTTATATGATCTATAGGTGCATCATCGTCGGATCTGAGATATCAATTTGCAAGGAAAACTAGATCCTTCTCATCTTTTTCTATCCTTTTACAGGGCCACTTAGATTGATGGATTAGGGAGATTGAGAGAAAAACCTTGATATCTCAATTGTATTCAGATGTGTCTCTTTAGCTCTTAGAGGTCATGTCTCTTTATAAGTCCCTTAGAGGTCCTATCTCTTTATAGGTGAGAACAAAGGGTATAATATAAGTTATTAGTAAAGTTTCTCCTATCAAGGGTATCTCATAAAGAATCCTATTATAACATGAACTTTTTTTCTATTGGTCAATAACCATAATCAGATTCCAATCATATCTATAATATAACTTAATAATTAAATAAGACCATATAATCTAATAAAGATAATATTATAGCATAAAAATATACAAAGAATGATTATTTCTTCTCAAAGAACTACCATAAAAATATTGTTATTGAGAGAAAAGAAACCAAGTAATTAAGAAAAAAATTAAAATAACAATTTAAAAGTTAAAAGTGTAAAAAGAATTAGATCAGAATATTATTGATATTATCAATATTAAGTAAATATTGTTTTAAGATAAAATCTCATCCATAAACGTGGGATTTATTGAAATTTTCATCTCAATATATCTCTCACGAGAGTACAATTGTGGAGTGATTAAACTTATTCTCCTTTAAAACTCCTCAATGAAAATAATGAATAAATATTCATTAACATTGTATGCAACGAAGAAAATCACAAGAAGTGCATTATTACTCATTTATAGTGTTTTGAACATAGTCATGGTGTTTTCCGTATCCGAACAAAAGCACTATGGCAACATTCATAGATACTATAAATGATTTCTTATGACTTAAAATAGCTTATGATTGATTATTTGATTATTTATATATCGTCTATCGGTGATTATTATCATGTTATTTATCATATTTTTTTATATAGAATCTCTAAATAAGAAGTTTTATCAAACTTCTTAATTAAAATTATGTCTATATCAATTTACTAAATAAGAGTGAAGGATTTCAACTCGATAACTAATAGCAACACCAAGAGTTGCCACCGGTCCCAATCGACTTTACCAAAGTGGACAGAGCAATCCAAAATCTTGGGACTAAGTGGAGTTGGCTTTTGCTTTAATGACTCCCTTTCCTGATTCTCATTGGACAAAGCCACCTCTCAAAATTTTGACTTGCCGAGGCTTAAAAGGCATAGACTGTTGCTTTCTTCGTAAATACACATCATTTAGCATTGATGCTTTTGCCTCCTCACATGAAAGAGTTTAATGAAGCCCAAACAAGCCGTGCTTTCCGACTTAGCGGCTACTTTCTACGCTTTTAAATTCTTACACATCCATCTTTACAAACTCTAAAATAACAGAAAAATTACGGAGTCCTATCGAACTCAATGCTATCGTTTGCTTCCCAAATATCTTCCTTTTTTTTTCTTTTTCTTCCTCACTTTCTCTTCTTCCTTTTTTTATTTTTTTTCTTATTAAAATATCGATACACGTATTATATTAGTACTAATCGATATGTATCGATTTAAAAGATTATTAAGATAGTTCCCGTACTAAAAACATACGATAAACCTTAATTTCAATCATAGTTATTAAAATCAACTTGTAAAACGATCCGATCAAGCTCTTGGGCTATTCGATCAGTGGTCGAATGGGAGGGTCAACTGCTATGTTTAATTTTATTTTTTTAAAAAAAATATTACATAATATAAATTTTACATAATAAAATCTAACAAAATTAAAAAAAATTATATAAAAATAATATCAACCATCATTATAAACATAAACGCTAGTAATAATATCAACCAACCAATATTTCTCGGATTCCTGTGCGTTTGGGTTCACGTGAGGCAACGGGTCATAAGACTGTCATGTTGTGTCCCCGAGACCAAATAAAACAAAACAGCGTCACAAGGCCCTGCCAATTGCATGATGCTCCACTTGGTCACAGATCTCATAGCTGCTCGAACTTCTTATCCCCAAGTGACCTAATACGAACCTACACACGATCGATCGGAGGATAAGACATCCATCCCATTAACATACATACAAAGCACATGAATGACGATCGCTGCTTAATATTATTATGATCGTGATGAATCAATCTATTACCCTATCTTCAACGTTTGCGCGGTCCGTCGAATCATCACTCCGACAATCCGAAACAAGTATATATCGTCTTCCTATTTTACTTCGTATCAAGTATAACGTGAAGAAGAGACAAACGATATGAAAGAATAGATGCCACTCGATCACATCTCGACGGCATCCTCGTCACTCCATTAACTCCGGTTGCCCTTTTGATAGAAAATATGCAACAGAATACTATACATCGCTCCCGACCGTCGGATAGGATGTGCACGTTCTACATTCGACGTTTCATATTTTAAGCCCGTTCTCATTGTTCGTCTCTTGGCTTGACAGGAACGCAAAGAGCTGCTGCGAGAACAAAGACACAGCAGTAGCAGAGGCCCTGCCTGGGAACCGCAAGGAGGAGGCGAGTTGACCAATCAAAACCCGGTGAGTCTCTTACTCTTTCAGTCACTTCCCCTTCCCACTACCATTTCTCCTCCGCTTTGAGTTCCACTCGGGGAGCTTTCGACATCGTATACACAAAAAATGTAAATATGAGTGCTTTATTCTTCTTCCCTGTCATTCTTAATGTTGTTGTTTCGGGTCAGAGATCTTTAAAGGCGTTCGACGAGTAGTGTGTAGACTGGATTCCTTCTGCAAGTGATCACCTTTTGACTCGTTGTTTCAAGCAGCTGCTATCTGCACTGAGAAAAATGGAGCAGAGGTAAAGGGAAAAGCAGCAGTTCTGCTCGAATCCTTGCCTCGATTTCTACGTTTGGTGCTCGTCGAGAATGAGTACCTGATTAAGTGTAAAGGGACTTCCGGAGCTGTCGTTCCTCTCCGTTGTTGTTCTAAACCCTCCCGTTTGGGGTTAGCAAAAAAATGTAGTGAAGAAGAAGAAGAAGACTAACACGGTCACATGCACATGATTCTCTCACAATGATGTCTCTGTGTTCTTCTGACTTTGCAGGGTAGGCCTGTCAGAACATACAACCGAGAGTTACCAACATGCAGATACCCAAAACAAGGTATAACACTGACTTGGTGTGCGATTTATCCAATTAATTATGTCTTCTGGGGATCCAAGAAACTGTATCAGAACGAAGAGGAACCAAAAGGCACACTGCAGTTGACATCCTAACCATGTGATTCTGATTCTACTCGGATTCTTGTCGTGGTAACATTTCAGCTCCCGTGACGGCCCATGTGTTAGGAAAATCCACTTTAGACACTTGTTCGTTTACCATTTCATGGCTTCCTCTAATCTTGTTTGATTTTTCTGTGACTTCCTTCATGTTTGTCTTCTTTCTTCCGAGCTGTAGGCCCTCTCTGTCAGTGAAGGCTTCTTCCCTGTGCTTCGTTTCATTGCATCTGGTGCTATTGGATTTTGGTTTTAACTTCTTTTTCCTGTTCATTTATTTGAGCCGGAAGGCCTGCAAACAAAGTTGCCATGCTGAGGGATTGGTTTGTCCTAAAATAAGACACGCATTGTATGATATATCATTACCAAGCTGTCTATGGTAATTGAACCAACAACTGGTTTATCTAGTAATACATCTCTCGGATGCAGAGTGAGAAACGTTCTCTGAAAATTTTACCTAGTTCCTTTTTGTGATGCCAACTCTTCAAGGTCAGCTAGAGATCTGTCAGATGAGTCGAGGAATAGAGTGGTTCAGTCATTTTTTTTCTATTTGATTTGGAACTTAAATCATAGCAATCTATGTTCGTTGCTATCCTCTTTTGTCTGTGAACTTTTTCACTTCAAGCAGGAATGGATCATCAGAAGTTCCAGGCAAGAATTCTATGCTGACGCTTAAATCGAAATGTCCCACAAAGGTGACTGGATCGGAATTGAATACTTCTTCTACAAATTCATCCAAACTTCTCGCTGATAGAAGTCCCAAGATCGAATGCCGCACAGCTAAAACCATGGAGACTGAGGTACTCAATCTAGCCATTACATTGTAGAGATACGCAAGACACCATACTATGTCTACAATCTTGATCACCGAGAGCTGCTCTCTTAGAAGAAGAGACATTACATCGTAGGCCGCCTTAAAAGTTAGTTAAAACCATGCTATTTTGGCAAGCTTAGCTTAAAATAATTCAAAAAATTAAAGAAAAAAGGAAAGATAAGTAATGCTGCGGTTGTTTTATGCTCAAGTCTGACAAGTGAAAAGGCACAGATAGATAGTTTCTCTCAGAAAAGACTGAGAATATAGGAAAAGAAAAAAAGATCTCGAATTTAGTTATCTTGGTTGAAATATCATACAAAGAAATCCATGCGCATCAATATTGGATTACAGATGAAGAAATTTGAAGTGGGTGGGGCATCTGGTTGACTGAACAATCCTCAAGTTTAGAATATTAGCAATATACTTGCATGCTTCCTCTCATTCCTGTTAGGACATGTAATTTAAATTTAATTAGAAGATAGAGTTGAGTTTATCTAGAGAAGGATCAGAATAATTTCCTTTGAGGTTTTGCTGTCATATATACCTAGTCGCTGTTTTGTCCAACTAATAAAGTTTCTGCCTTTTAGTTTCTCCTTCCATCTCTACTCTCTTCTGAAGTTTTATTTTATATGATCTGAGATTAGAAAATCTAACAATTTCAGCCCAAGTGTGCTCATACTGATCTTTGACAGACTCTGTGTTTATGCCATGCCTGTGTTCATAAGCTAAGCCTTCTGCATCTCAGTAAATTCAGCAGTTTATGTGATTCTTAGATGGTACTATTAAGTGCGTAAGGAAGTTCAGTAACCAGTTCAATGCAACTATGCTTTCCTCTTTTAAGTGATCTTTCGACTCCATACTAGAATAGGTGGATATTACCAATTGATAGCCTACTTCACTTCTGATCCAGAAGAGAGGCTCAGGCAGGGTCACCGAGTTGGAATGTCAGATCGCTCAGCTCCAGGACGATCTGAAGAAGACAAGGGATCAGCTGAATTGTACCGAGTCATGGAAGAGACGAGCCCAGCAGGAATCAGAGGAGGCCAAGAAACAGCTTTTAGTCGTGGCTCTAAAGCTCGAAGATTCCAAAAGCCAGATGAAGGAGCTATCAGCAGCAGAAGAGTCACGGATTCAAGAATTAAGAAAGATCTCTCAGGAACGTGATCGAGCATGGCAGTCTGAGCTGGAAGCCATCCAGAACCAGCACTCCATTGATACTGCAGCACTGGCATCCGCCATGAACGAGATACGAAGGCTGAGGCTTCAGCTCGAGATGGTCCTTCGATCCGAGGCTGCACTTACAAAGAAGTCTGAAGTTGAACACATAGAGATGCAGTCTTCAAAAAGAGATCTCGCGGAGGTGTCATTCTCCATTGAAAACCTAAAACTTCAGCTCATAAGTAGTGAAAAAGCTGAAGCCGAAGCAAAATCCACGCTTGCTGAGACAAGGAAACAACTGGAAGTTGCACAGAGTACAATTGAAGCTCTCCTTACTGATGGGTCAAAACTCATGGAATCCTTCAGTATCGTAGCTACCGAACTAAAAGAATCCAGATCACGAGTCAAGTCACTTGAAGAAACTGTGAAGAGACTGCAGGAAGAGCGGTTCACTGCTCATCTCCAAGCCTTAGCTGGTTTTGGCAATCCAAAAAAGATCTGCTTCGGTTCTTTAGACTCTGAAGTGGAACAGTTGATGTCAGCACTAGAAGATGCTTGGATCAAGAATCAGCAAGAGCAGATCGAGAGAACAGTGAAGATCCAGTGCACTCGTGAAATGATGGAGAAAATGAGTACTGACTCCAGACTAAGAGAATCTGAACTAGAATTGCGACTAATTGATACTGAATCAGAGGTTACTGTGCTCAAGTCCAATCTGTTTGACAAGGAAGAGGAGCTACAGAGAATCTCAGATATGAACAAGAAGCTGCTTGCAGACAGCGAGGAAGCACGAGAAAATCAAATTGAATCCGAACTTGGTTTAAAGCTAACAAAATCAATTGCTGATGCTAAGGATTTAAAGTCTAAACTAACAAATTTGGTGATAGATCTACAGAGACTATCTGAAGAGAACGAGCAACTAAAATCCGAGCTGAGGAGGACTGAAACAGAGAACCATAAAGCTTGTGAAGAAGCAATAGCCGAGATGAAGTCGGCTAAGGCTGCGGAGGAGGAGGCACTGATGAAGCTAGGATCCATTTCCGACAAAGCTGAGAAGAACAACCGAAGGGCTACAAGGGTGGCTGAAGAGCTGGAGGCAGTTCAAGCGGTGAAGTCTGAAATGGAAGCTGAACTGAGGAAGCTCAAGGTGCAAGCGGAACAGTGGAGGAAGGCAGCTGAAACTGCCATTATGATGCTTACGGCTGACAACAATGGGAAATTTTCCGGAGCTGTGGATTCCGAGCGCAAATCTGCTGAAGGGAAGTTGATGAGCTTACGCCTCTCCGATGACATTGGTGAGGAATCCTCGAGGAAGAAGAAAAACTATGTCCTTAGAAGAATCAGAGGGATGTGGAACAAGGAGCAGAAGTAATAGTCAATTTGCATCTGCAGTTTGTAATGTTAACGAATACCTTGGCTTCTGTTTAATATTGAAACAATAAATAAACATTTGTGTTTCCGGAGCTGAGATTTCTTGAACTGCAAATTCATTCTTTCTAGTGATAGGAACACAGGAGCTTTACAGCTATTGATCTCATCGTTCTACTTTGCTAGTTTTCTGAATCAGGATTTAGGAGAACATGCTTCTTTTGTGGACCACACACATAAACACGAGATTTTGTTCAACAAGCTTGGAAGTGATACTAGAACAAAGAGCAAAATTTCAAAAAGGAGAAGAACAAGTGCCTGAGAACAGCAGTCGTTTTTATCTTTCTTCCTCTTCTTTTTTTCTTTTTAACCAATTAAAGCCTCTCACATCTCTCTTTCCTTTCATAACCTTGACAAACAAAAGCTTTCAAGAAAAATATTCTAAGAGTGGCACATTCTCTATCTCAGTCTTCCTCTCCCACGTTTGAGAACACATTTGCATTTTTAATATGCGGTTGAAGAAAAAAATTTAAATAAATATGTAATTATGAAAATTTTGAAGTGTTTAATAAACAATATATAAAAACTACATCTTAAATATACATTGATATAAGTGTTCTCTTGTGAAATTATATTTCAAAAGTTATTGAATATTTTGTGATAAATTTGCCCTTCTAATATCTTTAATATTTATTCAAAAATAAATACATATTTTTATTTAAGTAAATAAGCAAATAAAATAAATAAATATGTAATCTCATAAAAGATTTCATGTGGCCCAAATATATGATAAAAAAAATATAATCATATAAATAGATATAAGATAACTTTTAAAAATACATAAATAAAATATCACCTTATAGAAAATATAAATTATGTTGGGTTTTCACTAAATCATTTTGATAATCTTATAATTTTAGATAATGTAATAGGGTATTTTTAGAATTTAAAAGATTATATTAATATCCCACAAATGTTGAGATGTTAATGCTATCCTTAATGCTATCCTTAGTTAACAGAAGAAGAAGATTAAAGAAAAAAAAAAAAAGGAACCCTTCAACAATCAATCAATCGTCAATCGTCACATCAGCATCTGTGGAAAAAAAAGATTAAGTTAATTATTTAATATTACGAAATATCTCCTCAGGTGGCCAGCAACCATAGGTCTAACCTTTCATATTCTCAAACCTAAATTTAATTTAGGTATCACATTGAGAGATCACATCGATCTCCAACACAACTAGGATCCATTTTGGGCATCGAAAGTGTTAGTGAACAAATGTGTCGTGGCTGGAGAGTCAACATGGCTAGGTCCACGAGCTGATGTCAGGAGCTTTCTGCAGGTTGATTCGGATGATGAGGTACCCGAGCTCTCGGGAAGGAGTGCTGGTTGGCGTTGGTCGGAGTCAGGATTGATTAGCGACTCCTTGGTGTCGGGCGAGTTGCGCTCCCTTGCTGAGTCCCTCACAGTCGATGAATAGTAGCCCTCCTGCAAAATGGCCTCCGCCGGGTGGTACTCGGTCGTGGCCCCTCCGACGAGCAAGTCCGTAGTCTCTCCCCTTTTTTAGAGGCCGGGATAGAGGTCTTCATACTACCGTGAGAGGGTCAGTCATACGTGGATTGGCGTGGTAGACATAGCACGACATCAGTACGGATTCTAGCTCGGTGTGTGGGGCGTTGCTGTCCCGGGATTGCCGGAACCAGCCATGTCGAACAGTCTTGGGGGTACGAGTTCTGATATGGCGTGTGGCATCAGCTATGACGTGTCCTGGGGGTAAAACATGGCTTACCACTTCTCCCCCCCGACATGGCGCGTCGTGGGGTCCTGGAAGGGCCGAGAGGCATGCTGGGGTTGGAGTGGTGTGACTGCGTCGGTTTGCTTGTGAATGGGATCTGGATCAGCTCGTTGAGGGGCGATTTAGAGGGGCGGTGCCTCGGGCCTCGGGAAGGATTGGCTCTGCTGATCGGGTAGCCGGGGCTAGACGAGGCGAGACCAAAGTGTCGTAGGTCAGATAACTGGTTTGGCGCGGCTCGGAGTTACGACCACCGAGTTGTGAGCTGGAGCGACTCAGTTAGAGATTTGATGAGCTGCGAGCCGGAGATCGACGTGGAGTGACTTGGACGACGGACTAGGCCGACGAGATGTGGCTCGCACATTGGACTGGCCGAGAGGCGACTGGCCGCGAAGCATGACTCGAGCGTTGGATTGGCCGAGATGCGGCTCGGGCATTAGACTGGCTGAGAGGCGTGCTTGGAGTTGGCACTGACGAGTCGTAAATCGTGGGACGTGATATGGCGATTTGGCGAAGGACTAGTGAGTCGCGAATCGAGGATCGAGCTAGAGCGACTCGGTTTGGAGGCTGGGCCTGCGAGCCGAGTGATTATACTCAGGCTTAGGTTTTGGGGCTGACGGGTCACAAGTCGGGGGCGATCTAGAGCGACCCGGGCAAGATTGGAACTGTGGGCCGAGGGATTAATCCCAGGGTCAGGCCTGGTGTCGGTGAATCGCAAGTCGGGGGCGATCTGGAGTGACTCGGGCAGGATTGGAACAGTGGGCCAAGGGATTAATCCTGTGCTCAGGCTTGGTGTCGGCGAGTCACAAGTCGGGGGCGATCTGGACCAACTCGGGCAAAAGTAGGGCCGGTGAGTCGCAAGTCGGGATGACATGGAGCGACTCGGGCAGAAGTTAGGCCGTCGAGTCGCAAGTCGGGGAT